CCCCCCCCCCCCCCCCATTAAAACCAACCTGTCTAATTCCATGAGAGCACATTTTAAAATTTAAAATAAACATATTTAGTATTTTTATTTCTGCTCATAATAATGTCTTTTTTTTTCATTCACTGCCTAAAGAGGTGGTGAAGGTATTTGCCATTACTCTTTTTTACCATCAATTTCATAACATAAACTGCACTCACGTTCAGTTCTTTGTATCCTTTCAGGAGATATTTGATATCTGGGAGTGAGACAGCTGTAAAATGTGTCAAGTAAATGCAATCAGCTTGTAAGAAACAAAGGTCACACACACTTGATCAATAAACAAGGCAGCTCTGATGATGCTGATAACCAAAATAATGAAAATTACTATAACTAATATCATTTTATTTTTGTAACCAGGATGTTATCAAGGTACACTTGACCCATGATTACCATTAATTTACTCTAACTTGTAATGCCTAATTGCCAAAAATAATATCATGTCAGTCAGGGAACCTGTCTGTAGCCTTAGTATATTCATGTACCACACAAGTGAATGGTGCTTTTTGCATTTACTGAACGAACAGGACTGGTATATAGCACTCTTTTAAATAAACAAATCTTCTTTAAAAGTACCTTTTCGTAATGTAGGCTTGTGGGTTGGCAATTTGTGATCACTAAATTCATGTCTTACTTCAAGACAACCATCAGCAACAGTGAAACTACGAGTCCTTCCTTGGACCAAGTCTTCAAGCCTTTTAAATTGATGTTCAACCCTGGGGTCATTCTGTATTTTTAAAGACAATTTAAGCAACTATAAAAAAAATGAATAAGGGGTAAGTTTCTAAAGAAACTGTGGTGCTGCGTTGGTGGGAGAGTATAGCAGGTAATTTAGTGTTAACAACTGAGTTGAGAACAGAAATTAGCTACTGCAAAGGGTAAAAGAGCTGAAGTTTTAAGCGTTAGCCCTATCGCTCTAACGAAGGGCTTACCCTTTACAATGACAAATTAATATTCTCAACTCACTTGTTAACACTAATTTACCTGCCTTAAAAAAAATGCACTCTTCCTTATCCAATTATGTTAAATACAGTCAAACCTGTATTAAGCAGCACCATATCAATTAAGCAGTCACCCTGTATTAAGTGGTTGGTTGTCAAAGTCTTAATTTGTTTCCCTGTAATCACTGTAATTTTCACCCCTATTAAGCAGTCACCTCAGTTTTGAGCAGTTGTATCTACATCTGAGCTAGTACCAAACATGACCTGTTTGTATTGCGTTCCACCTGCATTGAACAGTCTCTTAAAGTAGGACCACTCAAATAAAACTAACATTAATCTTTCAAGTAAAATGAAATCGATGTTCAACTCTCTTGCAATCAGAGTTAGTAGTATTTTTGAGCACAGTTTTGTTAATTAAATGGCCAATTGTGGCATAAAGTGGCATTTTTAAATCTTTTTTATATTTATTTACCCCTATTGTGTGGGATGTGTATCAACCAATAAACCTGAGTCAGGCAGTCACCCTGCCATTCCCCATGGGTGACCATGTAATAAAGGTTTGAAAGTATGTATACAAAATGAAAAATTAAGCACTAACACTTATAAGAATAAAAAAATAGAGTCCATCTTAGGCTTGAAATCCACTTACCACTATATGTGGTCTTAGGACTTCTATCAACTTTTTGGTCTCAGTCAATATCAACTCATATTCAGCATTCAACTTCTTCTCTGATTTTCCAGTCATTTGGGTAACCTGTGGTCCAAAAGTTTCAGGAAATCTTATCTTCAAAAAAGATAATGAATTGAATTGGAGCAGAATGGCTCACAATGTTATATGTGTGGCCACTAACCAAAAATAACTAATTCAATAAGATTTTAATTCTCTGACACATTACCTTCCATTTCTGACCAAGAAGACAACTGGAGAAGGAATTTTCCACTAAAACAAGAGAAGATTTGAAATTAACTACACTTGCTTAATACACACTGCCCAGGTAAATGATAGTGTTGTTCTTAAAGGTGTCTCAAAGCTTGCTGCAATGATTTACTACAAATTTTTAATTTCTTTAGTTTTTGTGGAAATGTGTTAGCCTGTCAATCCAGCTTAAGTGATCCAAATTAAGTGAGAAGGTACTAATCAAGACCCCAGTCTAAGTGAACACTCTTCCTCTTACACTGTGCATAGGTAAAGCTATCAATGAGCTTGAACCTAAAAGGCAAATAAAGATACCAGATAGGGAGCCTTGTTATCATGCAGCCTACATTATTTTGTCAGATTACACAGAAGACTGGGTACTGGTCAGTTAAAATACCCCTGGTGCTCCAGGAAGTTCCCTGGAACCTTTTGGGAAAATCTAGAACATGGAATTGATTCAGGCAATAATTAGGTTCGCAATTCCACTCAAAAATTGGGAAATACTTGCTGTACAAATTTCTTTGATGGTATTTCTGATAATTCAGTGGTCAAACCAAAGGAAAAAAAATTAAACCTCCACAGTACAGCTACACTAAATTGGATCATTACTACACAATTGAAACTTACAGATACTTTTTTCCTTTAACTCTAAAACATCACACAATCGTTCTTCTAGGTCTCTTAGGAACGTTATTCTGTTACCATGCCTAAATAACTTGGACACCTTAAAAAAATCATAAATATTAATTAAATTCTTCAATCATTAAATCAAGAAATCTGGTAGAAGAGATTCATTATATCCAAAAAGAAATATGTTTGGCACTAGTTCAACTCAAAATGGACCGAGACTTCACCTTGGTAAATTCATCCATGAAACTGTCAAGAAAAGAAAACATTTTTCTGCAAAAAAGGAAAAACAAACCAGTGATTAAGTAAGTAAACATGATAATAAATGTTCACCGTGAAAGCTGAAAAAATGAAAGTATGGATGGAGAAGAAACCCTTCTTATATAACCTCTGGAATGTAACATCAAATGCTCTGAAAAAACTGGAGATTTGAAGAGACTTTTTGCAGTCTACCAGTCAGAAGTTATTTGAGGTTCTTCTCCATACACCCATTTCAATAATGATAGACAGTCATAATGATTGTAACTCTGGATATTTGTTTTCAACCCATTAAGTGCATAGGTTCACAGACTCAAGCAGGTGACCCAGACTTCAGATTTGAGCTGGATTATTGGCTGATATCACTTTGTAATACATATACATTTGAAAGTACTAAATCTAGGAACTTCATCAATAATTTTATAAACTACTTGTTACTTAATAATCAGAGCCGTCAATTAGGACAGATAGCCTGCCAAAACCCCCAGCTTTTCATTCATCTTAAACTGCAAGCTACTTATACCTCAATGATTTTGCCATAATTACTGATGAAAAATTGTACAATGATTGAAAAACAGTCAAAGAAATTTGTGCTGTAACCATTTCCCAGTTCCGATTGGTGCTAACCTGCCAAAATGCAATTTCTTCCTCTGCCTTCTACTTTCAACTCGTTAACAACAACAATGATAAATACCTTTTGCAATGTGAAATGTAGCACATGCAGTAGGGCCTTACAAAACCACGAGCATGAATATCATAAAGAGTAAAATGGTGAACCTATGAAATATAACACAACCTGGTAAAATGTTTACCCCACAACAAAATAATGAGACTCAGGAAGAAATCAAGGGAATAAAACTTTGCTGTAAAGCTTACATAGGCATAAATTCCATCTTTTCTCTCTGTTAAAAACAGCTGAGTGTCTTCAACAATGGAAAAGTTGCTGCCCCTGAAACAGAGATTTATAAGTAAAAGTAATATTTCAATATTTCAAATTCAGTATCAAATATATATATATATATAATTTAATGAATCCAGCAAGTGTCATGAAGAAGTGTAAGATTTTGAAGTGTAAGATTCGACCACATAAATCTTCACAAAAAAGAAATTGAACAAAATGAATTTACACAACTAAAATAATGAGAAAAAATAGGTGAATAATTAAAGCCACATGGTCAATCATCTGAAACTCACAAAGTTGAACACTTTTACTTTTAATTGATGAAAAGTGTCATCTCACCATACCTGGATTGAGTATAATCTACTGACATTACATGAACAGCAAAGGCATTCACGTCAAAATTTTCTCCAGCATTCTTGGGAATTGTCATCTAAAGAGATACACAGAAAGAAATAAGAAAACAAAAGACAAACAAGTTCTTGTTGTAATAATTTAATAATAGGTTCTTGATATTAGCAGGCAAGTCAAGAATTTAAAGAAAGCCACAAACTTTTGAGTCTGTAAAACATGTTTTGACAGAAACTTCTGTCATCTTCAGTTAATTACTGTACAAAGCATTGAAAGTTGAATTCTATAGTAAGTAGAACAATGCTGATTAAGATGAATAGTGAAAGCATGAAAGTGTGAGAATTAAAAAGATAGCTTTAGATTTACATGGTGTAATTGTTGATTGTTCATAATAAAAATAATAATAATAACAGTAATGAATAATATTAATAATTAATTAGGAATATGATAATCACACTATAGATTTCTGTCTACAAACTTCAGGGTTTAATCAAGCAACCCTGTTTCCAATAAAAATCCAGGCCAAGGTGAGCTGTCCAACATACAGACATGTACATCGATTGTATCTTGGTACTAAACAACTGAATTACTTTTACTCGTGATTAGTAACTGGCTTCTAATTTCTCCTTTTGGTATCGGCCTCCAATCAAATGTAGAGGTGACTTTGCTCACCGAAAATCTAATACAAACTCGTTTCATTAATAATTAGTTCAAATTACTCGATCATTAAAACATAACTACATACAGAATTAGAGATTTAAATTCCGATCAAGTCACGCTACAATAAATAAATCTGCATGTTCTTGTTACATTTAAAATTTATGACACTGAGCAGTTCGTTGAATAACCCGGAAGTAATCGAGGCTATTGAAGGCGTTTATATAGTCTGTCAAACTTACTACTGGCTTTGGTCCCTCATTCTCGGCGAACTCAGCAATCAAAATGAAATCTCCGCTCAGAAGTGTTCTTGGCCAAGGGTTCGAACGTGCAACGTTGTCGCTTGAGTAGCGAAAATTAAATGCAATCTTATCCAGATTCAACCCCCTTGCCATTCCTGACATTACACCTTGGGTATCACCACTCCACGTTCTTTCATAGGCACCGTGCATTATATGTCTGCGAGATTCATAAACAAGCTTTGTTTATCAGGAGAGGAGGAAGTGATAACATTCAGAATTGTCATTTGAGGCGCGCTTAACGGATTCGGTGTTGATTTCAGAAGATGCAGAGTGTCCTTCAAGTTGCATTCCTGCAGCAGTTATCTTGCACATCTATCGATGGAAACATTTTGAGCTATTGAGTTCTAAGGCGAAATCTGTCAGGCACAGAGGTGACACGCAAAGGAATTCCTTGGCACGCGCCTGTCGTTACCGGCTTAACTCTCCCACAGGCTACCCAAGTACAAGTGCAAGGATCCGTTCCAACGTGACGAAACTCTTAACGATAAGTCAACAAAGCCATTTGAAAAATCAGTAGAATTCTTTACCTTAGCCCCATATCTGTGTGAGTTGTCAGAATTTGGGTTGTTTTAATTAATCACGTATGATTGTGCTACTTGTGCTCTAAGCGGGTTCGAAAGCGGTGGTGAATAATTCATGTGACCATCTACATTTAAATTCTTAGTTTAGCCGGCGTTGTAACCAACTTATCGTCGTTTCCTGAAAAAAAAAACATTTTCATGGCTATTTTTAGATTGCTATCAGAAATGTTTGCTAATTTCTGAAAAATACTCGCTGGGAGGTTTCGTTCATGGGAGATTTAAAGGTATCTTACACGAAGGATATCTCCTGAAAGATCGTCTATGATCAGGTTAAATTTTATAAAGTCGCTCCCGGCGCATATGGCGGAGGGTGAAGATTGTATGGATAAAAGAGATACAGAATGTGGTCAAGACAAGGCAAATTCACCTTTTCGTAGTCAAAATGATGGTAAAAGAACTTTGTTTTCAAGAAAAATCATCCACAGATTAAAGCCGTGAATGTTATCACGTATTGCAGTAAACATTAAAATTTATGTTTAATTATTTTCTTCTTTTGTTTTGTTTAGATTCTCTGGATTTTGATTTGTATGGGGATCTTTCTGTGGACCTCAACCAAGAAATGACATATCCCGAGGTATTTTTTAAATTGATATTCTGTTGAGAAAGTTTATTAATTTATGATAATTTGGAGCTGTTGTCTGTCTGTCACTGATTTAACCCTTTGACTTCTGTGATTGACCAGCATCTAATTTCTCCTTACAGTATCAGCTCTGAATCACACATTAGGGTCATGAGAATAAAGGACATGATCACCAACTAAGGAAGCTCTTGATTTTTAAACAGAT